CATCAATTGAAATAATTATAATATTATTAGATTATATTTCCCTCATTATAAAATAAATATTATAAATTATATTACTTTCGAAAAAATTGATCAATTATTTTAATTTATTTATAAATATTTTATAACTTTACATCAAAGATTTTTAAATTTTTTTATATAACTTTTGACAATTTGTAATTGAAAAAATTTATTATAAAAAAAGTGCTGCATTTGAAACATTCATGATTATTTTTATCTCAAAGTAATTGATTATGATATCATGTTTATATTGAAGTGCAATTTTTGATGAAATTTTGGTAAAAATAAAATCTTAAATCATTATATATCATAAATTTACATGTGTAAGTTTACCAAAAAAATTTGAGAAACGAAAAGGTTCTGATATCATTTTTTGAAAAAATCAGACACAAATTGAAAGAAAAAGGTGATATGCAGTTTAATATTAAAAAAATATTTTAAAAATATTATATAATTATATTCATTAAAAAATATCAATAAAATTTTATAAATTTCTTATTTTATTATTTTTGATATGATAATTTTTGATTATTATTATGATGGTATAGATTATTTCATGTCGAAGTTTTCTGATTTTTTTAGAAGAATATGTTGTTAATTTATTAATTATTTTAAAAGTTCATCTAATAGCAAAAAATAGATCCTTTAAATATTAGATACTTTGAAAAATAATTGACAAAATTGTTGAAAATCTTGAATTTACATCCTATGATAATTTAAATAAAATTTATGATAAATTTTGTGTATTCTATTTCTAAGTTCATAAATTTTTATTTTTTTTATGATTCATATGATTCATATTAACTATCTTTCAGGAGAATTTCGTTTTTTTAGCTTTTATTGTGAAACAGATCAAGCTAAATCTGTATCTTCACCTGAAGATCACCATTAAGAATTATGCTACATAAAAATTTGATGCCGATGTGGATTTTATATGAAATCTATCATTGATATTAGACGTATTTGCTCTGAAAATTTCAAATTATACTATATTTTAACTTTCAAGACTATGTATTCAATTTATCACTCCACTTACAAATCAGTACATGACTTATAAAATTTATTTTTATTTATCTTTTTGTTACTTTTCGAAATTTAATTTTATTGTTGTCATTAATATAAATTCATAACATTCATTCAATGATCATATCATATATTTCATGAAAATTTCAAGTTTATTTATAAATGATATTAAATTGATAGAATAATGTTTGTGATGAAATTCTTTAATTTCTTCCATACATCTTATGTCAATAATTAATCTTGACATAAAATTAATGACAATGTGCTAAATTTGATTAGAAGTTGATCAAGATGATAAGTTATGTTGCATAACATTTTGAATGTATCATAGAAATAAAATAGTGACCAATGTAGTTAAAATACAATGTCATAAACTTACAAAACTGATCTTGTTTGTCTCTTTTTCAATAAAATAAATAACATGTTATGTTATTGAAGCTTGTACAAGAGTAGGTCAAAATTACAATAATTAAAAACTTGAAAAGAAAATATAACAATCACAAGAAATAAAATAAATATTTTTAAAATTTGCATGTTGAAAATTTCGATGACCACTGTTAGAATATCTCAATTATAGTGATTGAGAAATGCAGTTATACGATACTATTGGAACCTATCATCATGTTAGGCGTAACGCTTCATATTTTTTTCCATAGCTTCTGCTTTATTACTTTGTTCGAAGGTTTGTGATTCTTCACGGAGCTCTAACTAAGAGAAAGAGATTTCGTGAGGGAAATACAGTATTTGTACGGTATACTAGTGACTGCACATAATCAAATTTCTCGACCTCCATCAATACTCAACTCCCCATTATTATAAGACCCATGTAGTATGTTGGGGGCACTGGCCCACGCAAGGAAACTAAGGTGGAGTTCCAAGCGCACCAGGGTCAGTACTTGGCCATCCACTTAAAGGCTGAGGCACACGTGATCTATGTATATCAATACTTTTCCTTATGTATTTACTACTGAGGCGACAGAAAGAATGTACATGATCATATCCTCTTCTCTCGAGTGTTGACCTTCCACGTACACGTGTACAGTACAGTCAAGTTGTTTTTCAAGAGTATACGGTTTAAGCGTACATGTATAACCCCAAGTCTGTACGGTTTGGATGGGGTCATCCGATCTTTTTGCTGTATTACATCTTGGACTTTTTTGAAGTTACAGGATTGATATTATTTGCTAATTATAATAATAGGATTAAAATGGACCACTGGACCTTTCATAGTAACCCAGTTGTTGGATAGAAACAAAGTAACAAGTAGTCATTACTTTGTCACTCCATTCGAGAATCATCTTCTTAAACTGTGTGTCTTGCAACATACTTCAATAACTGTGGGGTATCTCTATGTGTGTGTGTGATATTTGTCAGTGAGTTTAATCTGCCTTTAATTGCGCAAGATGGTCTTCAATGCTACAAATTAGATTCCGAATATGTTCACCGAATAATATTGCGGGGTGCATCTTGGAAGTTGGTTTCTATTATCTCAACATATGTGATCCTGACATAACGATAATAATTTAACTGGATATACTTATAAAAAATATGCAGAGTTGTTTAGTTTTCTTCTTATTTTAGTTTATATCTGTTCGCTCGATGCCATATGATCGAACTATTGCCAGCAGCTCGAATATTTATTCTGGGAATAATGGGAGGGTTTATCTTGTATTGTATCTCGTCATCGGGAATGGATGTCATAGAGATCAGATACATCGTTTGATCACTCCAAGCTCTTACTTGCAGATGCAATCTCCGACAATCGATCCGGATCTGGACAGGTGATTTTCAATGTTGTTAAGGTGGAAACAAGTATGCTGTGGGAACTGCTTCACTTTCCAAACTTGTTTGCACTTGGGTCTGGCCTCACGAGCGGCCATATTTCACACCTTGGAGGCATATTTGCAGAATGGTAAATCCTCTGTCTACTTGAACCAGCTTCTTATTCACTGGGTCGTACTGTACCTGTTGACAATTATGCAACGAGGTGCAAATTGCAGTCCTCGAATTATGTGAGCTTCAGTGGGATATGTAGAGAGGGTTTTCAGCTCGATGTTCAGTCATAAATTCCGGTGAGTGCAACATTTCATGCCTTCGGAAGGAAGAAGCCAGGAAAACACAGGAAGTAATTTTTACCTTCGAGAGCCTTGCACGAGGGACGGGTATAAAAACCGTCCCCCGGTTACTGCTGCTATCTCATCTATGCTGCAAACTCATCTGATTGTACTTTTGTGAGCTGGGGAGAAAGCAAAACACTTTTGAGGCGGAGAGCAAACTCAAGGATGACCCACAGACACATCAAAAGGCCACCCACGCTTTGGGCAATGGTGGACCAACATTCGAACAATATTAAGCACAAAGGTACAAGATGTTTTCCGAAGGAGGATTGTGTAAGTCAAACGCTTGTCATATTTAGGTGGGGAGATGAGCATAGTCCAACATCTGCGCACTCAAAGCCAAGGAAAAAGCGAAAGAAGGAAGAAAACTTTCTCACTCTTCGGTGAGAGCAAATAATCCAAACGACAATCTTCAGTCGACAGAAATCTCATCGACCAAGCCTTCACGAACGTGCCCGACGCGTGTAACCAAAAGCACCAACAAGACGGCGATGCAATCATCTGTCGTGTGCAAGATACACGCGAGGGAAAATCCTTCGCAGGTCAGTCAGGTCCAGTCTCCGAGGGAATTGCATCTGTCCAGCAGGGCAGGCAGCTGACAGTTTAGGTGCTCAGATCTAATTCAGCGTTAAGACAGAAATGAATGGCATTCAAGGAAAGGCAGCCTCTGAGCGCTGCCGAATTTGGCCCCATTTGTGGACACTGTCGAGCTCTCGTCCTTGTCCAGACCCAGAAAGCGTGCAGCCACGGGCCAGGGCCGCAGTGTCGGGACGTCACGACAGATGTTCTTATAAGGGGCAGGGGCGAAACGAGATCGGAGCCACGGATGTTCTTATGGCGCGAGTCACCTTGACCGGCGACATCGAGTATATTATACAGTAGGCGCTCGGGACAAGCAGGGTATCAGCCCCGAAGGACAAGGGTATAATTCGCCGGTCGTCCTGTACCGCGGAGGCCCGGAACCTGTACAGCGACTGCTGTACTCAAATGCCAGGACTTTCCCGCGGCGATCGCAGCCGTCGGCGCGAGAATCCGACGGCCAGGGACTGAGATCTTCCAGCGTGCCTAGCGACGAGCGGAATGTGGATAGAGTTGCGACGCAGCGGGGTTCTCGCGGGCCGAAGACTCGTCGTCGATCGAGCATCCGACGGCGGCGAGGGACGTTCCGGGAACCCGGGGGAGGTGAGGGGGAGCTCAGGATATCGCTCCCGGTCAAGAAGACCGGGCAAAGTTGACGACCATTACGTCAGGCACGCGGACCGCCGGTGCTCCACCAAACCGCCGCTGTAACCAGAGTTACTGTACAGACCCCAGCTGCTCTTGCTTCCTTCAGTCTTCCTAGGCTCTCTGCTAACCTAGGAAGACAGTCAGTCAGTCAGTCAGTCGCGACGACCGGGTCAACGGCGAGCGCGCGACTTCCTGCCTCCGGTCGTAGCGATGGTCGTCTTCTCGGGAGCGAGGAGCGCGACGGCCGTCGCGGGGCAGTGCTGGGAATTGATGATGTGCTGGGGAAGGGGCCGCCATAGCCAAAGGCAGAGAGAGGAGCAGCAGAAGAAGCAGCAGCAGCAGCAGCAGCTGGCTGGGCAGGGGGGGGCAGGGCGGGGCCGGCGAGGAGGGAGCGAAGGGAGGAGGAGGGCGAGGAGGCGGGTTCTGTGCATCTGCTGCTGTTTACAAAAAAGGCTTCGCCAACGCGGTTTGAATCATGTCGTCGAGGAGGAATTTGGCGTACGAGGTCGTGGGGGGCGCTCAGAGGCGGACCTGGTGGTGTCGTAGAGAGGACCTTTTCCAATTTGGCTCCGCGCAAGAGCAGCAGCAGCAGCAGCCGAGGTACTGTGGCACGAGATGCGCTTGCTCCCTCGCTCGCTCGCTCGCTTGCCTCCTCCCCTCCTCTCCTCTCCTCTCCTCTTCCTCCTTGTGCTCCTTGTGCGTCTTCTGCTTCCTCTGCTTCCTCGTCTGCTTCGTCGTTGTGTGCCTCGTCCGCGTCTTTCCGTGGTCTGCTCGATGCGGTTGGCCGGGGCGGTCGGTCGTGTCATTGCCAGCGCGATTTGGTTGCGAGCCCGTGTGAGTGTGCTAGAGTGTGCTGATTCGCGTGCGCTTGCATCTGTGCGGGGTTCGTTGTTTGGTACAGTCGTCGTCGTTGAGTGATCGTCGTTTGCCGCTGTCGAGCAATGTGGCTGTGAGCGTGGCGGAGGTGTGTGATTGTGACTTAGGTCCCGTCGAGTGGTTTTGTTGATCACATGTTTGGGGGGCGCTAAGGATGAGAAATGGTCTCTTCGTCGTCAGGATCTGGAGCAGACAGGCCCGGCCCCGAGCTTAGTCAGGCCCCGGATACGACTGCGGACGCGGCGTGTGGTGCCCAGGCATGCGAGGATTCACAGGGCCCTTTGCAGTACCCGGAAAATTCGCGATGGGAAAAAGCCTCGAATGGTCGAGAGTCTGGTCTGGTGGTTCGCCTCTTCCCCAATCCCCCGCAGATTTTTGGAGCATCGCAAGCACAGCAACAACATCAGCCAGGTCGAGATCATGATAGGTACCGAGACTCTGCCGAGACTCTGTCGCAATCGGAGCTACGTCCTCTGGAAGCAGAAGCCTTAAGTTTGAGCAGAATGTTGAAGTCCTTGCAACCGCCACCTCAAGAAGAGTTCAGCTTTCCCACCTCAGGCTTGAGCACGGAGCCCGAATCACCCCCTGCCACTCCTGCCGCATACACCAAGCGGACGGTGGTTGCACCCGCTGACAGTACCGTAGCTGGAGCTGGAGCTGGAGCAGGAGGGGAGGCATATGCAGGCACTGACGATTCCGTGCTCCCACGATCTCCCAGAGGTCTCCGTTTACAGGCAAGGGATAAGAATGACGCAATGCCTGCTTTCAGTCCTAGCAGCTACGGGAACTCTGCCCTGTCGCCGACGAAGAGTCCCAAGTCGAGAAGACGAACTCCTGGAGGATTCGCTTTTTCTTCCTCTAGGGGCAGCACTCCCAGTTCCTCCGTGGGATCTGCTTCCGAGCTGCAGTTCCCGGTTGTTCTTCAGAGCCCTTCGTCACCCGAGCCTCTGAGGCCAGGCTCTCCTCTCAAATGGAGCTCCAGAATTTCACCCGTCGAAGACACGCCTGTTATCGAAAATGGAATCAGGGAAACGCCTGTCCAAGGGTTGGTCCAACGCAATCCTTCTTTCGCGATGTACATACCTCACAACGTCAGCAGCAAACTCTCATTCGAGGACGTGAGCAGGAATTCCGCACTCAGCAGCAGCGAGATAACTGGGAGCGATTCCAGCCGAGATCTCTCTGCGGTCGTGCAAAAGCTGAAGCAGCAGCAGCAGCAATATCCTAAATATATAAGCTTGGGCGAGTTTGAACTGAACGGAGTGCCTCTAGGTCTTGCAGATTTGGACAGTACCGAGTTGGACATTTCTTTTGCCCTGGAGTACAGAGGCCCTCCAATCAATCATGTCGTTCCCAAGGTGGATCCCCTGGACTTGACGGCAGTGAGGTCCCCGTCCCCCGATGAAGCTTTCTCGCCCTCAATCTCCGTTGCTCCACCCTCTCCCGCCAGAAGCAGGAGAAGTATTCCCGGGTTGACAGTCCCTTCGCCGGACTCGGGAGCAACCGGTTCTTTCTTTACCCCGATAAATATTTCCGCGGAAACAGGTGCTGAGAGTCCTCGTCTGAAGAGACCTCCCAGGAATCGGCCCTCGGATCGACAGACTAACTCCGAAGTGCCGCAAATCGCCGCGGATCAAGGGTATGGGGACATCAGGCATACAGGCAACTCGTCGCCCGAAGCAGGGCCGACTGTAGCTCGAAACCGAAGAAATTCTATGGGCGATGATTTTTCTTCTAAAGGCTACTCTTTCTCCTCCCACTCTTTTCGAGGTGCCGTCGCAGAATCGACGCTGACTCCGAGTAAATCAGAACCCTTTCTGTTTAAGAGACCCTCGAAAGGCTACAAAGATGACGATTCCATCCGCGATGTTACTCACAAGCTAGGATCAGCGTCCATGTCAGGGATTGATCACATGAATTGTGCTGGTTATCAGGGCGGGAATTTTAACTACGGTGAAACGGATGTCATTCCACAGCAAAGACGAAAAGGGGAATGCTGGGTATGTGGAAAAGGTCACTGGTTATACGCGGAAAGGGAGTCCTGCTTGGTATGCAATGCCAAGTATTGCTACAACTGTATTCTCACGGCAATGGAGTCCATGCCGGAGGGTCGCAAATGCAAGGACTGCATCGGAAAGCCTGTTGATGATACACGGAGGGCGTCCATCGGAAAACCATCGAAGCTTTTGAATAGGCTGCTAAGTCCACAGGAAGTCCAGCAGATTATGAAGGCAGAGAAAGAATGTGCTGCCAATCAGCTGAAACCCGACCAGCTGTGGGTAAATGGGCGACAATTAAGCGCGGAGGAATTGTCTGTTCTTCTTGGGTGCCCAAATCCTCCTCAAAAGCTGAAGCCTGGGAAATATTGGTACGACAAACAATCAGGACTTTGGGGAAAGGTGAGATATATTTCGACGTGGGGCATGCATGTATGGACAGTTGTTTCTTTCGAGCTGTGGAAGATGTTCCAGCTTTGCATGCTGTATCCATACTCATGATCAACCTAGCTCTTATCTCATGGATCATACAATTTTTTCTGGATCCTAATCTCTGTTTTCGTCGCAGTTACTTAGTACCTGCACCTTGTGTAGCCTGCCTTTGTACAGTATAGATTTTGTACACCCAAGACGGAAGTGCACGCCTAATCTCAGGAGACATGATATATCGTGCACGTACACCGATTTCTATTTAGAGAGGAGATTCAGTCAGGACTGAAAGTTTTATCATTTTATTACTAAATGGATGTGCTACGAGGGACGTGACACCCTCCTTAAAAGCATTGAACTTCTTTCCCTCGTGGTCTCATTTGGGTGTAAGCAACAGTCACCACCACGACCTGTGGCCCCATTGTCCTCTTTATAAGGAATAAGCAATTCAGATAACTAGTTAGTTCCTTCTGATATTCTTGAAACGAAGTCGAACCTTCTTTTTTTAAAAACTGCCAAGCTTGGCGATAAAGCCCCCCGTATGGCAACTCAACTCCAATGTCTTATCGCGTCTTTCCATAGTTTTGTTGCTGGACGCCAATGGTATGTGGTGTGGAGAGCTGTCTACTCTGGGTGGAAACTCGTGGTCCACTTTCTATTACAGCGTTTTGCCACCCGAGCTGGTTCCTCAACTTGTGATGGTTATTATGGTGATGTTCGGTTTTGGGATCGTAAATGTCATGTTCATCACCTTAAGGATCATGATATGTGCTGCTATCACCAGGAAGGAGAGAGGCCCGACAAGCTCATCACTCACGACTTAAAAGTAGGCGGAATCTTGAAGGAGAACGCAAGCAAGGGTACCACTCAGGTTTTCATGAATAATCGAGAACTGGGCAAGCTGGAGCTGAGAATGCTGAAGGTACAACTTTTCTTTAAGACTGGGGTACAGATTTATTAGATCATCAGTAGTGATGAGTTTGGTCGTGAAGTTCTGAGTGTGGAAGTCATCTTCAGCTCTATGTTTTCAAGATTTTAGAATGCAAATCAGAGGGTTGTCCGTTGATCGGATCACCTACGACCGGTCACACAATTCAAAGGAAGGACAAACCATTGAAATGAGGTGCACCTTGTCATATAATGTCCATCTCTTAAAGTTTATATCACCTTCTGCAGTTTGCTAGTTATTGATAGCGAAATAATGCCGGATTCAAAGAATACTTGTTGACGTGGATGTTCGTTGTTTTGGGGAAGAGCAGTTTGCTGGACTTCGTTGCACTCCACCTACGCACCTATGGGTCGATAACGAGGGTTCTTATGTGGAGGAGGGACAAAAGAAAGCGAAGGGGAACATCTGGAAAAAGGCAAGTTTTGATTTCGCGGAATTGACAGTGATGGACGACTGAATATGTTCTTTAATAGGATTGTCGTTCTAAGAGCCTCACATGAGGCCTAAGCTTTAGTGTGGATACAGCATTCACGTGCATATTGTTTGGTCTTCTTTACAGAACTAAGTACAACCTGTATGTAGTACTCTTCTTTTGTGATTATTGCACTATGCCTGTAGTCTGTGGCATCATCGACAGTGGCAAAATATATGCAACGGGAAGCCTGAAGATGTGTCTATATTGTTTTCTACAGACATCAATCAGGTTGTTGTATCCTTTCTTTTCGTTACCAACCCCTGGTCCAAATAATCGGTTCTCAAGGGAAGATCAACGCGATTCTCCTGACGTATATGTTCCAGATTATTTGACACAAAACAAGCTACACAAACTGTTGCTTTTGGGTCACGAAGGCTCTGGTCGGAGCACGATTTTTAAGCAGGTATGTAACATCATTATGCTGATTATATCACTTAAGCTGAATTATGTTATTGTTTTCTGTTTAGTTTGGACCTGTGTACACGTGCAGTTGTTTCAGAATGGTCTGTCAGGAATTTTATGCGAATTCTAACATGACCCTGAGCTCCACGTTTTCATGCTAACTTTCAATATGTTTGTAGCTTACATCTTCAGTTTAGTCTATTTCTCTTCGAGCATCTGTGTAGGAAAGCAACAACCGGTGTGAAATTTAGATACATGAATTTCCAACAGGAACTTGAGAATCGTGGTTGTATACCACGTAGTTCAGTTAGCAAGTGAGTTACTGTGTTGAAAATATTAATCGCGAAAGTATCTCACAAATCTCACCATGAAGATCGACCTTCTGCACTCTTAATTAGTCCCCTCCTAAGTCTCTGTCGTCCTCTCCAAGAACTTTTTGTCTCGACGGTAGCACCGCTCAGCCTGGACACCGGGTCTTTGGTCTTCAGGCTGTAACAGGCGCAGTCTAATGAGTACAGTCGATTGCCGATGGAGGAGGCCTCATACTTGAAATTCATTTTTCCACAGACAAAGTTTCTGTTTAAGGATGGGTTTGACGAGGAAGAGCGGCAGAAAATGAAAGCGATGATTCAATGCAACATCTACCGCTACGCCATTATTCTCCTCGAAGGTCGAGAGCGCTTTGAAGAGGAGGACGAAGACTTGGCCGAGATTGCAAGCTATAGTCCCGGGAAGAATACGGGTGAGACTATTGATTCCTTCTTAACAATGATTCATCTTGCCATATATGTACTTGGTAGGACTTTGTCGATCACGATGATAGTCGTGATTTTCCCATCTGGGTCCTTGCCGTATCATTGCATCTTGGTCCCTGGGACATTTGTCGAGGTCCTGAGGTGACGGCTGTTGGCAACTATGTCATTGGCTCTTCACCTTGGCATTCCGAGAGGGCCGCCGTTAAAAGTGGTGATTATTTCACCTTCGGGTCTGAAGAGAGGATCGCCTTTTACGAGTGTATCTGGCCTTGAGCTCACACCTGAAGCCCTTGCGTTTTGCAGATGGACGGCGAAGTATATATGCGTTGGATGAGAAACTGAAAACGAAAGCTGATTGGTTTTTGGACGTTATGGCCGAGGGCGACTTAGAGACCGTGTGTTCTGCAAGTAACCATGAGTACGCCTCTTTAGTCGTAGACTTGTGGAAAGATCCCGCCATCAAGGCCACGTACAAGAGGAAGGATGAACTCAGCGCTTTGCCACATTACGCTGACTACTTTTTAGATAAGGTAATTTATCCTGCAAAATCTTGCTCTTATTTTGTTATGCCTATATTTTAACCGTTTAATTCGAAGTTTTACAGTTATGTAAATGAGCATCAAGTTATTCGGTCAGAATATGGAGTTCTTGCCAACATAGAAAGTCGTGAGACTGTTGTGAATCATCTCTTTGCAAAAGCAAAGAGATGCCTGTTTCGACCTATTTATTACACCGCGGGTTCTTAGTATTTTCCGTTCTGTCAAAGCCATTGGTTGCTTGATCTCATCTAATTGAAGAATCAGACGGAATTATAATGTCACAGGGAAATTTGTTTGTTATCATCGTGAAAGACATGTACGTGCTTTTTCCTTTTCTTTGAACATTAGTTTCTTGATGATGCAGGTAACGGAGTTTTCGAGTAACGAGTACGTTCCTTCGCCTTTAGACATTATTCGTGCCGAAGGGCTTGCACAAGGATCAGGGTTGGCTGAAGTGGAGTTCTCTTTGGATGACAAAATTTCATCATATCAGGATGTCGAGGGCTCGTCACCGGAAAGGTAGAGTGCTTGCATCTTGCATACTACAGGACTGTCACTGGATCACCTTCAAATATGCAATGACTGAATGACGATGATTTCGTGAGGGTCATCACACCGAATGGAACAGCAGCATTTTGGATGATGGAAGCCTCATCTGCGATGCATTTCATACTCATCCTGCAGTGTGGACATGTGTTTCTTCAATATAAGAAGCGGCCAAATTGTTTCCTGATCATGAAAACTGCGTGAAGTTCAATATTTTTTTACAGTACCTCTGTATCGTGCTTCAGAGTTGGAATGTTCACATTACCAACATGCTTGAATGTTCTATATTTTAGTATAGTGAATGTGGCCAGGGGTTTGCTCATCCCACTCCGTTGCTTTCTTTCCATATTTCAAACTTTATATCAAGTCTTATGTTTGTTCTGTTTGCGCAACAGGTACCAGCTTATCAAAGTTGGGGGTAAAGGAATGGCCGAAGGGTGCAAGTGGCTTGATATGTTTGAAGATGTCCATGCAGTTATTTTCTGCGTGGCAATCAGCGACTACGATCAAGTGTGTCCAGACTTTGACGGAGTTTTACGGAGTAAATTGCGTCAAACTGAACTTTTTGAGAGTGTCCTTAAACACCCTGTGCTCCGTGAAAAGCCTTTTGTATTGCTTTTAAATAAGTACGACCTCTTTGAGGACAAATTTTGCAAAGATGTACCCCTCACTACCTGTGAATGGTTTACGGATTTCAAACCTGTTGGAGCATCTCAGATGACGCCACAGTGGCAGGCGCAACAAGCTTACACTTATGTAGTTCACAAGTACAAGGAGCTTTTTGCGAATGGAGGTTATAAGGTGTTCACCTTCAAACTGATGGCAACGGAACAAGAAAAGGTTTTGGAGGCTTTCCAGTACGTGAGGGAAATTCTGAAATGGAAAGACAACAATGGCTATGAATTTGTAGAAGAATCTTCATACAGTACGGACATGAGTTCCTACTCGCAACATACTATGCACGCAGGGCGGGATGTCTACCATGCCGAGAGGTAACATCCATTCCCTCAGTTTAGCATGATAAGAATTCCGGTCCGACCTTGGATATGAAAAAGTTGGGCTCCTCTAGCAGCCACCTACTACTGGATTCTGGGTTTAGTCTTTGGAACCGTTGCCGTCTATCGGGTTAGCTTCTGTTTGTTCCTGTTGGGCCTATCACTCGCGTCTCATGCATTTGGTCATCATGCAGTTGGATAGCTTGATTGTTGATTACTGCTTTAATCAACAATTCAAGATCGTGAAGTTGTTGTTAGATTTTGTTTGTGTATATACATATTTGCCGGTCTAGACCTATTTTGTTGAAAGTTCCTGGCCTCAGGAACCATCATTTTGTATCTCCAGTTGTGCGATCAGGGTTTCGGGTTCATGACTTAAGCACATACTTTTTCCACACATCTTGCGGTGTTTTCGTCTTCCATCTCTACGTACACTGGTTACTTTTCATTAATCATGACTTCAATGTTCCTTTGTTGACATTTATCTCTTCAAAGTTTTAGTGTTATGAAGCTGTCATTTGTTCTCCATCGTGTTCTTCTTGGTAGCTATTTGTGATCTTTGCACTGGCGCGATCAGTAGCTTGATTGATGACGGCCTTCTCAAGGAGATGATTCTGCTGAATTTCTCTGTGCTTCTGCCCGTAAAAACTTGCACTTTTGTACTTGTACTCTTTTGCAGTCCCCTTACCAATATTATTCTAGCATGAGTACATGGTTCACCATCATGAAGAATGCTGAATGTTCAACTCGTGTGGTAGTGGTCAATGACTGTCCTTGTCTTTTGTTGTGGTCAGCTTGAGGGAAGCATAGCGTATGTAAATTTTTGACTTTCTTTCCATCACGACCTAGGGTTCATGTACTTGTTTGTTCTTTAATTTAATCTGGAGGATTTGTTGATTTCTTTGTGTACACCTAAATGACTGTACCTTTTTTTTTCACTGGCGCGCAGGGTTGCGAGAAGCCTGGATTTGTAGATAAAGTAGGTTCCAGTATTGGATTATTGTCAAGTATCACCTGCCTTTTTAGGTCCCCAGTCTGGCTGTAAATGTGAGCTAGAGCCATCACCAGTGACTTGACACCCACCATTTTGTAAAATATAGGCGTGTAAGAGATTGTTTAGTCACTTTTAGGAAAGATGAGTTGCGCGTCTGCATTCAATTGGATTTTTTCCTGCTCAAAGAGTTTTTAGCAATGGATAACTGGATATAAGAAAGGGAGTCCCTTATCTGGGTAGAGTATTTTCTACTCTGAACAGCATTAGATCATATATGCAACTGCAAGAATCAATAGGGTTTTGCCCTTGATTGTCAAGATGTAACTAGCCATTATACCTGTGCCGGACTGGGTTTACTTTTCCATAGATTCAGAATATACCACCGTTCTCCACGGTGATGAGTCTCGTCAATGATGACTATAGCACATTCATCTGTTGTTATCTGTATCGTCATTGTTCTCGGAAGCAGTCCGGCAATTTCAAGATCAGGTTCTTGTGACGAAAGCAATTTGCCGTCCATGTTTTGTTTCATGAACTTTGTACATATCAACTTTTACACACACATCCATCATAAGACGGAAATTTTGCGACACCAGTCCGGTGCCAACCTATGTTGATATCCAGATGTTTAATATAATGAAAATATAGCATAGATGCCAAATATAGCAAACTGTTGTTATTAAACAAAATCGTGATAGCTTTGGCACTAATTTTGTGGAGGAATGGAACATTTTTACAATAGTACATCCGTGAGTTTTTAATTTGGATGCAGCAGTCGAGCAGATGCAAATATCTGGTCCGGAATTGTTAATTCGTCTTTGTAAATGGAATCCATCGGTTACTTCGTGCCGTGGTTGGGTATTTTGGACACTTCACGCTAGATGCTCAATGCCTTCGATCTTTGTAAAGCCAGAATTCATTTTAGGGAAGGAGAGTATAAATAGTATGAAACTGGATATAGATGACTATAAACATATAATATATTCGACTTGTTTATGTAAAAGTACTAAGTATCAAAATGGCTTCACATGTTAAAATCAGCGGTTAACATGTGAAGCCAGTAGAATATCAATTTGTGAATCTTGGTCAACAACATGTGACGATTCATCTAATTATTTTTAATATAATATATACGTGGGAGTATCACCCGGATAAGCCATACTGTCATAAAGAAACATATAAAATGTTTTGCCTACCAACAATGGCATACACTGTTGCATAGGTTAATCATTGATTTACGCGTGTTTGACATTGTTTCACTTAGGATAGGACGTACGATGCCATGTAGATTTTAGAAACTATATATTAAGTATACTATATATATATATAAAATCTAAATACTAAGATTTTATTAACTCAACTGCTGTGAGATTTCAATTCTGAGAAGTTGAAGAACTGATAACTGAAGATAACGCAAATTGATTTCACTTTATTCACCGAAAATTATTCAGCTGACGAGACCCGTCTAGGAACTAGCTAGTTATATACTGTGCTCCGAATAAAAGCCGTAACTTTTTCAGGTACAGTATATGGGGCTTTCATGTCGGCTCTTTTCTTCAATTCTTCAATTCAGCAACATTTGTTAAAAGTGCATATTAGAGTTTTTTTAAAGTATTCCTGATAATATAGAATATAAGGTTACTGCATGAAAGCTCTCTATATCAGTCATTACGCAAAGTATAACAAGTCTCTTTGCGTTTTCTAGTGACTGACTTTTTAGAAGATATCCAATTCATGTTGCAGAAGTACAGGTGTGTTTCTGTTTTCATTCAAACGTAGGAATAAACATCGAGCCTCAAGTTCTAAAATACACAACAATTAGTGCTTTAAAGAATAAGTGATGAATGCTTACTTACCTGGCGCTAGTAGGTTAAGCTCTTGGTCCACATATATTGTTATATTGGAAGCTTACATTCAGATAAAAATACCTGATATGAATATTTTTCAGCTCGTTTAGACACTTGCAGATTATAACTTGTGCTTTAATAATAGTTTCAAGGATAGCAGAAAAAAGGAAACATGGGAAACAGACCCTCAGCGACTTGTGAGATAGGTTTGCTCTCATGCACATAACAGTTAATTGTCGATCAGCAGAGAGTTGGCAGCGAGTCGTAATGTGAGACCGATGTTCAATTCAATTCTGAGTCTGTCAATTGACGAGATAATTCTCTCCCACCAACGCTGCCATGACAATGAGCACCCATGCACAACAACCTCGAGCTTGATGACGATCGATCAATCAATCCTCGGTGTGACTCGGAGCTCTGCTATGTCACAATGTAGGCTTCGAAAGGGCAGTCGTGAGACGAAACCTGTGAGGAAAAACGAGGACTTCATCAATGAAAGGAGAGGTGGTATCGTCGCACTCAATCTGATTCATGTTCCGCTTCTCACATTCCGTTCGTTGATTTCTTCGGAGTGAAGACGTTTCTCTCAAATTCGGTCTGTAGATTCTGCATCAAGACTCGAGGACATTGGGACATAAGATGGGACAGAAATCCTTACCAGGACTCGTCTTTCAATCGCAAGACGTGAGGGAAAATCGTGCGAGCTCATGCGATCCGAGATCACGCAGCAGCTGCAACGATGTGGTGCAGGATCGAGTCCAGGAATCAGAAGATCGTGCAGAGGCGGGTGGAGGTCGAACATCAAGAAGGATGGAGGACGATCAAATCAAATCCAGCAGCTGATGAGGTTGTCGAGAACTGTCTGCGGATGTTGATTGTACAGGAAGACGAAGAGGTTGCAATAGGCAGGAAAGAGGCGCGCGTCTTGGGCATGGACCATCTCGGCGTACACGCCGATGTGGATGCTGTCGCTGGCATGGACGGGCTGCGGCGATGGCGAGTCGAGGGCAGTGAGGGCCAAATCCTCGAGGCTCAGGCCCATGAGCGATGGGAAATCGTCCATGCGCGCGCAGGCGGCGAGCACCTCGTCGTAGGGCGCCGCCACGAGATCCATGGGGCTCGGGCGCAGCAGCAGCGCCTGCATCCTGCACCGCACTCGGCTCCGCACCGCCTCCAGGAACATGCGCCGGTACACCTCGCTGAGCCTGGCCGAGTAGGTGTTGCGCCTCGAGGCCTCGGCCTGCTCCATGGCGCGCAGGCGCATGCTGCTCTCGTCCAGCCTCGCGTCCAGCAATTGGATCATCACATCCTTCGACGCCTCGGCCTTCTCCAATCGCGCCAATTGACTCGTCGCCGCGCTGAACTCGTCCTGCAGCTCGCTCAGCTCTCGTCGCAGCCTCGCCTCCTCGGATTCGCACCCCGTCGCGGCCTCTGGCGATGGTAGCGTCGTCGTTGTCGTCGTCGAGGACGAGCTCTCGCCCGAGGGCTGATCGATTGTCGCGGGCGATGGCGAGGGATTGATGGGGGAGTCGTCGGGATCGAGTTGGTAGAGGGGATTGCGGGCGACGGGGTGGCCATTGAGAGTGAGGAGCTGGCGGAATAGGGCATCGGAGTCGTGCTCGGGGCTGACGACCATGGCGGCGCCGGGGAATTTGCGGAGCCAGTGGGCGATGCTGTAGTCGCGATCGGCGGGCACGGGCGGCACGGCGCTGAGCGAGAGGCGAGTGTGCGGATTCACGCCCACGGCCACGAGCTTCTTGCGGATGCTGTTGAGGAAATTGCTGCGATTGGCGAGCGTGCGCGATGTGATGCTCGCCACTTTGGTCTGCGGATATGTCTTCAATGCGCCTTCGATCCACGCCTCCGAGTAGTACACCTTCAATCGGAACACTCTCATCTCCGCCTCCTCGCTCTCCGCCCTCTCGCCGCCATCTCTGAACGACACTCTGCGCTTCGGCCCTCCTCCTCCTCCTCCTCCTCCTCCGCCTTTCGGCCCTCCTCCTGCGCCATCTTCCTCCTCCCCATCCTGCACCTGCAATTGCGCCTGCGCCTGCTCTCGATCTCGCTCTGGCTCTGGCTCTGGCTCTGGCTTTGGCTCTCGCGGCTCCTCCTCCTCAGCGCTTGCCATTTGCGGGCTCACCGATGTCGCGGGCAAATTTCTCGCTCGATCAGGCTCGATCGTACATGAACTGCCATCTCCATCGAGTCTGAGGCCCGAGGGCGATTTCGCAGCCTGATGCCATCGTCGCCGAGCGCTCGCTGTGCTTGGTCCCGGCGTCGTCGCCGACCGATCCCACGAGAGTCGGTGTGCGAGGAAGGCCGACGATTGTCGTCGCTGCGTCGAGCCATCGCCTGCGTCTTTGCCGACCGTGACGACGTTGCTGCCTGAAATCGGTTCCAGCGTCCATCTCGGCAGCAACGTGATCGTTCGAGATGAATTCGACAGCCTTTCTTCTTCTTCTTACGAGTTCCGAATCTCGGTTGGCTCGCGCAATGTCGATGTCGATGACGACCTCAGCGCCAAGTCGAACGAATGGAGTAGAATCATCTCGTGGCTCGTGCAGAGCCCAAGCCGCCGTTACGCGAGGTGGATTTCGATCTTTCTGACCTCCTCACGCTTGTACACGTGCAGCTGTTTCGCTTGTTGCTCGAATTGTCAGAATTCTCCCGAATTCAGGCTGCCCATGGATCTCGTTCTGCTTCCAGAGCCAAATCTCGACCGACTGTGAGGGCACGAATTCCTTCGTATCGAGCACCGACGGAGAATAATCGAGGTCTGATGGATCATGGAAGCGCCACATTGAAGCCACGTGACATGACGGCACAGGGCGACGTTTCGAGATGCGAGCATCCTTGAGACTCTCGAATTCTCGCCAGAGAAACGCAATTCCGCTGACTCGCATTGCTGTCATTCATTTCGATCATGAGTCTCGGAGAATCCGGCAGCAGACGAGTCTGAATCTGAGTCTGAGACGATCAGGCATATTCTTCATATTCTTCACAGTTTCACTTCTACGTCAAGATGTGATCGTTTCGCAGATCATCCATGGCTCCAGAAAGTTCCAATCGTAAATCTATTAATCCGACGTTTACGTACCACCTCAATTAACATAAAAAGAGAGGAAAAACAAATAAATTTTCTTGGAAATATTCCTTCAATGAAATCTGAAGCTACTTTTGTTGTTAATGGAGTAGCTCGCGTTTCTTCATACCACAGTTCACAGTTGCACTTACACGTCGAGGAGTTTGCAAAGATGTGATCCGTGGCTTAATTAAGCCATGGATCATAAATAAAGTTGTAATCATAAATTTAAAGTCATTTTCATAAATCATACACTTTCATTCAATCCTGTATGTTGTATTAACATCTAGTGCAAATGTTTTAACTTTACTCATGAATAAATTTGGAATGGGAACAATAGTAAACTAAATTGTTTGATGAGATCTATTAAGTTTTGTTGTACTTGATGTTACGATGGTATGCCAAATATGCCATACCGTTATGTTACTCTACACATATATAATACGAACTTTAGTGTAATTTTGCGATGGCCTATGTGAATCTGCTGAAGTTCTAAAATATGTTATTTTACACATATATGATGCGAGCTTCAGTGTAATTTTGGGATGGCCTCTGTGAATCTGCTGAAGAGCATAATAGTTTGACAGACAGGAGAAAAGTATCAAACCTCGCAGGTTGTAAATTGATTGGTGATGTGAGATTCTCCCAACAAAATTTTTGATTTCAAGACAGTCCAGGACGTAAAACTAACAATCAAATATAGACATGCTCGACACCACGATCTCTAACTTCCTTACTCCCTCCACTACCAACAAATGATTCCCTCGGTGAACAACAAAATGGAAGAGCGCAATCATGAGCATCCAACTCGCTCTTTTTCATGCTCTCAAGCTCTACCTCTCCTCGTCGTCCTTTGGAGATCTAAGGTACGACGAGGAGAGGTAGAGCTCTGCCATGTTCGATTGACCTTTGCTACAGAGTTCCACTGCATGCACTTTATGTTGCTACTAGAACATCCGTGACGTGTACCGTAGGTAAAACAAAACTTAAAAGGTCTAGTAATCAATTTAGGTTCCAATAGTATCCCATCAGGTAAATAACTTTTGGAATTGGTTCATTTTACGAACCTAAAGAACATATAGTTTATTTGGGAACTTGCCTTACAAAGCAATAAATTTTATATTTTAGAGTGTATGCTGAAGTGAAATGAGATTGCACAAATTAATAACAAATGTGAAGTACAAAAAAAATTGTTCACATGGAGTTGCATCAATAGCATCGTAATTAAAAATTATGCCATAAGGCTAAAAATACTAATATTCATATCTATAAGTGAACTTTCCTAGTACCAAAAATCCACATCACCTACATTGTCTCACGTAATATGTCAAATTTTTGTCCATGTGTTTCCATCCTAGGCAAACAAAAATATCACATCTGCATAAACCCATATGAACATGTTCTCCGTTCTCATCGATGCAATCCTATCACTACTCATTGTGATGGCGGATGTTTAGTGATTATTGATACTGATCATTCAAAATATTTGTAGCTAGGACATATTTAACTTACACTCATGTAGAAGTCGAAGAGATAACATTGCCACCACACAGGTGATCTTTGTTATTGAAAAACACAACTTAAGTACATGAGCAGAGGTTTACCAAGGGACGGCATGCAGCACAGTAATACTAAAAAATGTGTGGCGGCTCGTTAACCTAAAGCCGCCACTTGCCTTGCCTCCGTAGCTCTACGGTGCCACAGATTGCTAAAGTGCATCAGGAGTGTAACATTATAAAAAAAGACATTAACATAAATCCAACAACTCATGTCTTCACAAACTAAATGCAGGTATACTTTAACAATCAAAACCTAAAAATGACACAACAATCACTTTATGTGAATTCAACATCCTCTTGCCATAATTAGCATAGCTACCAATGACATCATGATAGGTTGAATCCGATTTTAGTATGAAGCCAGTATTCTTCTTTAATAATAACACATGTAATTGTTATGGTTGAAGATATAGATGAGTATACCAAACCAAACCAAAAGCTCATACTCATTATTCTAAAAGAATCTAGTGTCCGTTGAATTCTTATTTCTAGTCACAAGTACATTCTAAATTACTACATGATTTTCATCCCTAATGTCTCTTAGCAATAACATAAGGGAAGATAAAAAGTAGAGTGATCAATTAAGCCAAAATGATAAAGGTGTAATCTAATACATGAACAAGAAACGTACATCAAAGTATTATTTCTTATCACACTCAACTATGCATAGTCTATGCTTTTATCAAATATATCAATGATCCTCGTATCAAAGTATTCCAAGCTCCATATGAATATAGATGAACGTAACATTGTACAAAGAAAGTAGATAGATCTACATAAAAATATTTAGGATAGAGTTTATCAATTCTTACTTCAAAGAGATCTCAATGAAATACATCATTTGTGGGAATCAGCAAATATCAATTTAAGTAAGTGCATGTACAAGAGAGTTAGACACAAATCAGTTGTTGATAGTGCATCCCAAGTAGAGTTAGACAATATACAAGTAGTACATGCTTGACAAGATATGCATATAATCAAACGGTTTGATAGTGTGAGAAAAACTATTTGGATCCAAAGTTGTATGAATATGGATTTGAAGAGTAATTTCACAAGAAATGATGCTCTACATTCTGGTCTTGATGTTGAAGAAAACAATATGTAGTACAAAAATTAAGAATCAAACTTATAAAACTTATGATATGAAGTTGAATACTTAAGTTACTTAATGATTAATATGAGGAAGCGGCTAGTTATACTTCACTTTTGGCTAATTATCCCTCATCATACTGTACTCTCATCTGTAAAGATTTGTTATTGGTCAAATGCACGGAAGAGACGAGACGTGGATATAGTTTTCGTAGGATTGAGGGATGCTACTTCCAAAATAGCAACTTCTTTGTGAGTTGGTGGAGTTTGTTTTTCCCTTTGACTTTCTATCGCCTGATGTTCCCCATTTCAAATGGTTACTAAAGCAATTCCAAAAAATTGATCAATTACGACCCAAAATTACGTGGAACCCGAATGACGGAGCGAGAGTAAGGTGTCAATTTGGCAAATTGTGTCAGATTTGGCAGACAATTTTCACCAGCTTTCGATCAGAGCAAGTAGTTGTTCGACCCACTAGATGGGTGCCAACCGGGTCAAGGGACAAATGTGTCATCACCACGAAAGTTTTGATGGGCAAGTCCGAGCGCAGTTGTTTCGGACTTCCGATAGCAACAAGTGATCGATCGTTGGAGTTACGAGGCGGAGCAATGATCGACGGATTTGGATTTGTTTCTATGCGGAAGACGGGGCAAATTCTGATCGAAGGCAAATGATTTGTGTGAGTCTTTTTGGCGACTATCGGATGTACAAGATCGACGAGGCGCGGACCTATCCGCTCTACTCTGCTCATGTCAACCACGTCGTGTCGAGGAGCAGAACGATGGATTCCATAAACTACATTGCCGCTAGGTTCTTCATCAATCCCGCCGAGCGAGACTACGTGTGGATCACAATGAAAGATCGGGAAAAAGTAAGGTAACTGAGGGATATTGTTATGATTTTACATGCGATTCTACCTCACGATAATGAACGAAAGACAAAACACAAAAGTTTCCGTGATTGGCTAGCACAATTTGTGCTAACTACATCCTCATCATTCACCTTCTCGTCCATGTTACGCAAGTCAAGAAGAATTGAATTCAATCGATCAAGGTGGTCTTTGAAGGTCGTTCCTTCATTCATCCGCATAGTGAATAATCGTTGCTTTAACATCAGCTTGCTGGTGAGTGACTTCGTGATGTAGAGACTCTCTAGCTTGAGCCATAACGCAGCTGCCGTCTTCTCTCCTACGACCTCCATGATCACGTCATCCCATATGCACAACATGATGTTTGGATGTGCCTTCTCCTACATCAACTTGTACTCCGATGATGCAACAGCCATGCCTTCCTTATTTGTGGTCAGAGGTGCTCATATGTCTTGTGATTTCATCAGGGCCTTCATCTTGATCTTCCACAAACTGAAGCTATTCCCTCCAATGAACTTCTCAATCTTCAATATTGTTCTTGGTAGATCCATAGCCCTAGTCGTGTGTCTCCACCGCTGTGATACCAATTTGTTATGATTATACGTGCTTGACTCTACCTCACGATAATGAACGAAAGACAAAACACAGAATTTTACGTGGTTCGCTAGCACAATTTGTGCTAACTACATCCACAGACAAAGAGGAGACTTTATTCCTTAAGAGAAAGATTACAATGAAGAGCATGAATCACTATGAATACTGCAGGTTCCTTATATAGCTAGGAAACCCTAGCACACCACAAGTTTCCAAAAATGTCGTTGGAGACAAGTGCTGGCCGCCTCACAATTTACTTCCAAAAATATGACATGCCATCCACCGCTTTGACTATTCAAACTTTCAAGACAATTTGTTGCCTTTGCCTAATTCAAGGCACTATCTTCAACTAATATCAATTTGGGCTACATCATCTACGTCTCCTGCATCGAGGCCAAGAGCCACTATATCTCCATATGATCAATCATATACCTCTACCTCTAGAAGGCAATATAGTATGGTGAGAGACCAAGGAAGGCCGTAGGCCGCAGCTGAAGCCCGGAAAACGTAAAGCCAGAAACTTCACAGTATCTGCCCTTTTTTTGTCAGATAATTAGCAAAAATTGAAAGAGAACTAGCCGCTCACTAATCTTATTGTGATGTACATGATCACATAATATACACATATTGTAGATCTAAAAGATCAACTTGATGTAAATTTTTGGCTAGGTAGAATACTACACACAACTTTGCTTAGTCAAGATAGTAGAGAGATAGTTCTATAATGAGTCATGATGAATAGTGATAATTCTTAAAATATTTTTCTTACAATATGAATGAGGTATTATATAACTATAACTTGTGTTAAACATCATATCAAGGAGTATAATATCAGAATCATAATAACATCATCTAATAAACTAAAACCAATCAAGGTAGAATATATTTCCAAAATAAATTTTTAAAGGTATGCATTCAAAATAAATTTTAGATTTTCAATCTTCAGAGAAAATTTTGAAAAAATATATTTTAAGTTGATCAAATAAAACTAAAGTTACAAAAAAAGCACTAAAATTAATTTCACTTTTATTTTATTTTTTAATTATGTATTTATCAAAATTGAAAATTTTATATCATTTCATACTATTTGATTTTTACAATGAATATACTTCATGAGGAACTAAGTATATCTATTGTAGATTTTATTTTACCATTATGGAGATGTGTATGAAATTTGTTGATATATTTATTTTATGTATTGATATAATTATGAGAACTAGTTAAAAATTTTATTAAATTTTTTTTTATTGATAAAATTTTTTTGTCATATGATATGTATTACTAGTTTTTATAAATTTATGGCCGACAACAATCTAATTGTTTGATATAATATTTTTCATACGTATATATATATATTATTATTATTATTATACATTACAATAAATGATCAGTGCTCAAAAACCTTAATAAATTTAATATGATACTTATTGTGATGATTTCAAGAATAAACTCAAAAATAAATTATTACATAAATTTGTTTGTAAATTCCAGCTATCAAAATTTGCTATCAGAATCTAGAATATATTTTGCTATTCTAGATTCTTGAACATTTAGTAAGATTTTGGGTGATTAAAATATTCATATCCAAGAACTTTCATAATATACAAGTTCTTCTATTTATATTCAACTTTTACATATCATCTTGTTAAGTTTGTGATGCTTTATTTCAGCTTTAAATATTTATTCCATCTATTGTTCAATTTTCTTGAAAGATTAATTTAAAGATAATTTACCTGTATCAATATACTGCCATTTCCAAAAAAAAAATATTTTTATTGTAAAATTCTATTCAATCTTTTGCACTTTTCATCACTTCTTTATGAACTCTATAGACATCTATCTATGCTTCTTTGATTCTTAATTGAGTTCTTTTGTAGAACTATCCATTCACATTTCATTATTAATGATAATAATTATGGTTTTTAAAAAAATGAAGTAATCTTATCAGCTCTGATGTAATTTAGATAAGTTAAATGTTTTAGAACTGCCCTTGTGGCAGTTCTAAACTTCACTTCACAAAACTGCCCACAAGGGCAGTTTTGTTACAACAAATGTTTTTGTTACAACAAATGAAGCGAAGATTTACCTTCTCGAGAGAAACGTAAATATATGTATGGAGATTTTCCTAGACAATGCATTCCCGGTGTCACAGCATGGAAACGACATGATTCGCTCATCCTCCTATTTCACACTAGTTCATCAAAATCCTGCGATCAAACTTCACTTACTCACGAGCAAGTGAGTAAAGTATTGTATAAGTCTAAAATTTTATATTATATGTTGTCATTTTATAAGTCTAAAATAACGAGCATTGTGTTGATAGTGATGAGCTATAAAATAGCGAGGTTTGTCTTGATATAACTAAGCTTTCAGCTTCCAGACGACAAGTGTCTGTAACCCTCGGGTCAGAACTTCCGATGTAGGCTAGGGTTCTCGCGATCGAGCCCTCTTGCTAACATATCTCAGGCTATGATGACCTGCGCAAGCTGCCATCCTGTGCAGCTGAAATTCTCCGCTGAGAGACATTGCGCCCATCTGAGCCATTTATGTCATCATTCGAGTTTTGTTGTCTTATTAAGTCTTGTTGGCAGCTTAGAGATAAAATCTGTACCTTGATAAAGGGAAGGGTGTAATTTTACTGCATGGCATCGAAGTCTGAAAAAGGATGAGCCTACCCAATTTGTATTCGCATGCACATTTTCTAGCATCCAGTTGCTTGAAAGGTCCAGGGTGAGGGAAGAAAGTCACTGAGGAAAAACAAGTCAAGTTGTGCTATAAAAGCACGATAAGAACTAAAGTCGAATAATTTGTGTGTACATGGGAATATGGTGCCAGGAGTATTCTTTGGCCGTATCCGTACGGAAGTATTTCCTGATCCGTGAAATAGTTAGTATTTTGCTATTTAAGATTTAAGCTGTTGAATTGAATTCTTTCTGTTCTTCACCTATGTAGCAGGAGACAGATTTGTGAGATCAACACTCAAGATAAACTTTCTACTTGAAAGGAGTAGTATCTACTGAAGCAAAGTAGATTTGTGAGATCAAAACTCAAGATAGACTTTCTACTTGAAAGGAGTAGTATCTACTGAAGCAAAGTAATTTTGGTACATACCTTTGACATTTTTCAGTATCTGTATATATGGGTTATACTGATCTTCAAAGAGAGAGACGGGATTGTAGAATGTCAGTGAAGCAAGCCTTGTAAAGAAGGGTTGAAGGTCGAAGATGAGGTCAAACACAGGACAATTTGTGTAAAGAGAGAGAAAAACAAAATCAATCTGTTGATTATAGTAGTCTGTTTACTTTTTCTGTCTGATGAGTAACCTACAGAACCTAGACATTTGCTTAATCTGAGTTTCAAATACACACTTTGAAATAGGTTTACAATTTTAAGATATTGTCACTGTCAAAGTGTAAAATTTAACGATATTATTCGAAAGGATTTTCAAAAATAAATGAACCAATCTACTGGGGTTTTTTTGATCAATTATCACAAATTGGTCATATGTCGGTATTTGCGTGATTCTACATCGAACTTAAAATAAGAAATATCTAAATTTTCACAAGATCCGTCATCATGCCATACATTTAGACACTTAGGTTCTGGTGTGTTCACGGCGAGGACTCCACTGTAATTTACCCCACTGCACACAACGTAAACGACCCGTTTGAGATAGAATTTTTCTGTCTCTAAACACTACTAACAAGCCTCTTGTGTACAAAAGTGGACATAATTCTAGGAAGTACAGTGTATATATCGACATCTCTTATTGATACTCCAATCCCCAAGGTAAAACAGTGAAACAGTATTAATGCATTTTGAATTATCTAATCGGTGCTCCGTCATCACGAATGTACATAAACACTTTACTACAATCTTAGCATCCATGATACATGACTCATCTTCCTAAAATTACCGTACCATGTATGCTTCGACCTTGCTCTTGGGATTCTTGATTCTAGCTGAAAATTCACTGGATCAAGGCTTCAAACAAAAAGTGCACGAAAAGATCATCTTCTAAACTATCACAAACGTAGGAGGTTTCAGCATAGACTTGAACTTTGTTGCCGTTGTGTTGGAAGAGAATAAATACTGAACTCCGTTATCATGCTTTCAAGCGCTGAAAAAACCAAATTCAACTAGCCCTCTTCAGAAAGCTGGATGCCGGCCGGCATTCTGACTTTGAAGCTACTTAACATGGGTTATGTTTCTCCATTCAACGACCTACGCCTGAGTAACTTGAGATATGATGATACCGCTACGTGCAGGCAGGCACTAATCACAAATGCTTCTCTGTCAAAATTTTGTTGCATATGTGTCGACGGCCCTAAAGGCCTGGAATAACCTTGGACTAAATTCATCACATTTGAATCTCATACAATTTCACAACTAAGTCTAACTGCAGTATACACTCCCATCTTCAAACAAATGACACTTTAATGCGAGAGCTAATATGCAGTCTTCCCATTACCGCCCGAATATGGGCGGTAGTACTTCTGGGCATCAGTGAGGTCAACAGGGCAGAGACTGGACCTACAGAGAAGAAAACGTAAGGCGCAGGCTTTTGATGCTTTCTCTCGTACGAAGGTGACGATGCAAATGGTATAAATCAAGAAGTGAAGACAACTTAATTCGCTACCAGCGTGGATCCCGGTATATCTGGACGAGGAAACTACATATACTCCCTGTCCTTACACGGGTTGTGTAATACACAGTTTGCAAAAGGTGGAACTCAATCCCTGAATATCAATCATAACTTGCATTCAAAAACTTTAAAAGTTCGTTCCGATTGGTTTCTGCTAGTTTGTCCTCCTTTGATTTTTCCACCTTCATCTGTATCTGAAAAACTCAACACTTGGCGTAAGTATATTTTCTTTCCCACGGGCATCGTGCAACACCGTATTTGGACCGGATTCATACATGTGATGCAGCATTAAAGACCGACTCTGACGCCTCACCTATAGATTGAGATACAAAGACGGAAAATCTACACGGTCTAGTCCATGTTTAAACATAATTTGGACAACCTAGCACCTGCAGCATACCTTCTTGCCGGAAACAACACTGCGCCGGACACCGTCGTCTTTAGATCTTCCAAGGAACTGACAACAGACAAGACAGATTACCTATACACTTAGCTGTCATAGAAAAGGAACTTCAGAATCTAGAAATCATCATCCTACCTAAGCTTCGGCTCACGAACAACAAACCTAAACCTTTCCTGATAGATGTGTACCTTTGAGAGCTGTACGGGACCACTGCTTTCTTTGCTCGACTTCTACATAGAGCTCAGGATGACAGGCACAAGCCACGAACGAGTCAGACAAAGCCATCGACGGCAGAGTTCCGAAGAATGGCCAGCAAGAGCGAGCCAGCCATGCAATAGTTCAGTAACGAGGTTGCAGACCGCAGCTCCAATTCGGAAGGGCCCATTCACATGCAGGCATCAAACACGTATCAGAACCAGGTACAGCATCCTCTCAGCAGGAAGAAGGTATACGAGGTTGATAAGACATTTCAAAGGAAAATCACAAACCCCTACAATCCCAACAACAGGACATACGACAAACCCAATAACACCGGCTCTGCAGTCCACCAGACTTGCAACTAAACTAATCCATAATGCATCAACAAACTTAGAATGGCGTTGAAATATGATCGAATAACTCTTCCTAGTGAACTTAATTCATAAGGCTCTTCCTTCACTGCGTACAAGAAAGATGCAAATGCATATCATCCTGCGGGCGTGAAGTCAGCAGAGAGGCTTACCTCTTTTGACCTGTGACGTCTCTCCTTGTGACGGTGACTTTTCTCCCTGCGTTTATCTTTGTCCTTGTCCTTGTCCTTGTCCTGCCGTTGTGACCAGAGAGTTAGAATTTGTTTGAGAACAGGTCATCCACATGAGCTTCTCTGCATGTCACAGAAAATGTTCGACCTCAGATCTACCTTCTTATGCGTTCGGGACTTTCTCCGATGCTTCCTGTGGCGTTCATTGTCTACGTCGCTATCTTGACTAGAACTTCCGTCCCTGCATCACATACTTTCACAAATCATCTTCTCATCAATACATGAGGTAATGCGCCACGATCAAAACAAAATATAAATATGCAAGAATGAGAAGAAAAAGACGGAATGACGACTGGAAAGACCCTCTTCACTAAACCGGCTACAGATAGCATAAAAAACCCTAAACTTTAAGCAGGTTAAAACTCATTGAACGGGGCGGTCATGTGAACGCCGACAGAGGCAGTGAAAGGCACGACTGAACCCCGAATGAGCACAGGTATACACCTAGCAGATGAAAACCTCAGGAGGCTGGCAGACGACTCGAAGCGAAACCATCGAGATGAAACAACAAACAGGACATAGGCAGGGTCGACAATGACTGGTGTTCACTATTCAAAATACAAGCAACGTCCGGCCAAAAACCCCCACGGCGCAGAATTTCTCATCCAGAGAAGCACACCGATACAAAGACTCGACTCCACACCACAAAGAAAAATATAGAAAATCTGGACATGCAACACGAGCCAAATTCAAACCGACAGAGGGCAGCAATCAGTCAAGCAGAGACGTGAGCCTCCATGGGCGAGCATCACATAAGCAAAAAAACGCTCGAGGAGATGCAAAACCAGACCATATTATACCTACGCTTGCGCTTGACGTGTCTTTTCCTTTCTCTTCGTCCACCGCTACTCAGACTGTCCGCATCACTTTTGCGATCGCTATCACTATCGTCCGACGAGCTGCTGCTGCGCCCGCTAACGCTCGCCTCATTCGAGGCCAAATTCCTCTTCTCGTGCTTCTCATGTTTCTCGTGTCGGTCTCGGCGCCTGCGTTTCTGATGATGCCGAGCTTTGACACGATGGTGCTCGTCATCGGACTTGGAAGACGAGGGAGACGAAGACTCCCCCATCGAACCGCAGCCCTTCCGGGGCACACAAACAATCGCCTCCGCACAACACCGTCCAAAAAAATGCTCACGCCCAATGAAGCACCGCACGAACCCAACCCTCCTCCTCCTCCTCCTCCTCCTCCTCGAACACAACCTCGCCTCTCCTCTTCTCGCCTAGCCTCGCGCTCGATAGATTCGAAGCGCGAGGTTCAAGCCTTCGAGAGAACCGGGGCCAGACCGGCAGCCGCACGACCGCTCACGCGAACACGACTCTCTCCTCTCCTCTCCTCTGCACACACACACACCGAGCGGAGCAGCGCTTCCAAGGAATGCGAAGCTGTCGGCAAGAGCTAAGCAAACGCCATTTACGACGAGATTTCGGAGCCAGTGTCAATTGTACATGTCACCTGAAATTCCCATCGCCCGCCCTGAAAGCCCCCTTACACCGTCGTCGTCGTCGGCTTACAGGCTACCGGGGTCTCGCTTGTACTCTGTCCCTCCTTCCTTCCTTCCTTCCTCCCTTGGCCTCTGCTCAAATCCACCACGAATCACGGACAACTTCTACGTTTCCGGTCGAGTTCGATTTACGTTGCCTTCATTGGCATCGATTGCACGATAAATCTCGGGCATCTCCTTGTTTGGAGGAACCGTGATATATTTCATGGCACACCTTTGAGAATGGTTTGGGTGCGGGGGTACACATTTCAAGCAGGTCAAATCGGGAAATTAATGTCAGCCATTCTGTATTTGCTGTGCACGGGTATTAGTTTGATGTACTTTCCACATTCTGTGAGCCATATAATTTGTGACATTGCTCACTCCTAATTTATAAGATGTACCAATGATTTCTCCATTTTTTGAGTGGAAACTATATCATACGCTCAAGAGAGACACGTGGGGAATTAGAGATCAAAATACCTGAAAGTCTAACAAGATATTAAGAGGTTGTGAGGAATAACCGGTTTTCTACTCATGTCATAATCAACGAGCTTCCGAATTGTTTCAACACAATAAAATGAAATTACTTATGGTGAAAATTAATCAAATACCTATCTGTTAGAAAAAGGTTTCAAACTTTAGATTATAACTCAAAGTTCCCAAATAGTTTAAAACACACTCACATATGCTTGTGATTACAAGTAAAATTAATCACAATTCTAAAGTCATTTCATATCATATGGATTGAGTATCTTAATTGAAACTTGAATTGCACAAGCGGACTTCGTTGAATGCTTTTTTCTTTTCAGTTTCAACAAAATCTGTGATCAATCGTGGTTTTTATTTCTGAATTTAACGAAGATAATATATAAAATGTTCAGTCAGTCTCTTAACAATCTATGTATTATATCTATGAATGGTCACATTTCAAATTAAGAATTATTCTTTGCATTCTTTTTATTTTCGAATCCAAGTAATCTGTCTAGATGTAATGAAAGTTTACTATTTGATTATTAACTTAATGATGTTTGCGTTATTTCTTTTGTAACACAAAATGAATTTTATTGTATTCATATGATACACTTAGTTTTTCATACAGGTATCTCAGGCATAAGAATAAACTTGGGTTCTAAACATGACTTCTCCATAGATATACTTAAGGAACGACAACTATTGAATACATTTTTCAAGTCCTAAAATTTGTGAAAATCAGTATGTGAAAACATTATGCAACATATGTTTATATTGGATTTAAGATAGTTTAAGGGCAAAAGTTACGATATCATTCATCAAATGAGTTACAAGAACATGCTTGAATGGACCGATTTGTTCTCAGGCATTAAAAAAATATCACTAGAAAAATATTGTTCTTGTTAGATACTGTAAATTAGAACTAGATACATAATTAAATATCATTTAATTATGTATCCAGATATTTCATTGCTTTCTCATGATAACTGTTTGTTAGTAAAAGTATATTATTTTAGTAATTCTAAGTAGACAAAAATTTCATAAAAACCGATCCGTACAATACGCAATGTCAAATATTCATAAACCATATTTATAGAAATTATTCTATATTGCATGCCTTGTTATTCTTGTTTATCATTTTTCAATCATACCATGTACAAAATCAAGCAGATTGCAACTTACATGTGATGAGTAGTAGAGTAACTCAAGAGCGATGCTTGCACGTTAGCGAATGAGCGTAAAGCTAAGGGGCAAGAACAAAATTGCTCAATACTTGATACAAATCATCCTCATAGGGGCTCTAAAGCTCGACCCTGATTTTTCTCTGTCTGGATGGGTACCTACCAAACAGAGTTACCTTTCTATGAATACAGAGCACAAGATGGTTGACATCAGAAATCACGATCCAATTGGAACACGCAGCACATCAGACTGGACCTTGTTCCACAATAGCAAGAAACTCATTTCTGGGCCCAACGAAGAAGTAATTTACACCTAAACCTCTACGATCTCGGTGGTTTGAGATGTCACAGTCAAGAAATTTACAGTAATCAGCTTAGCGATCTCAGATACACATTCTTTCGTCAGATTGCTAAGACGGAACAGACGGAGAACAAACTCTATTTCCAACTCATCCTCCATTTTCTAGTCTCATGATATTAAAGGATTAATTCCTTGTTTTCAGTGGGGAGAAGACCACCGTGAGAACCATGTCACGGCCCGCATCTGTTGATACTGACTAGCATAGAGAACTCATATAGTGATCATCATGAGAAGCATGTTGATCGTCAGCCTTCTTTGCAACATCACGAGTTGGCATGAGAATGTGAAACTGCTGGCCACACTACAAAGTTCTGTGTACACAGGCTCACAGTTCATATCCATGACGCAATTTGTTATATTCGTGTTAGTTCGGGTACAGGTACGTGGACTGCAGATAACTCACGCACTAGGACAATATGAAGCTTTACAGTACCACAAGTGCAAGGATGAGATGACTACCGTCAGCGTCAGTTCTGTACACAATAAGTACGATCGGCAAGCATGACAAACGAACATGCAGCAGACATGGCCGGATCATCGTCATCAACGTAGGTGGAAGTTTATATGAAGAGCGAACCCGCAGGGCTCTGAAGACAGAGTTACGATTCGAGCTTAGAGTCAAGAAAAATTGCCACGAAAATATAGCCTCGCTAAGAAGAGGTGTTCTCCTGAAGCCGATACATCGCGATCTGTTGGTCTGCACATCTAATTAAAATAACTTGCATCTAGTAACTATGAACGGCATTCTGCTCACCGGAGAAGGCACGCATGTGTAGGATGGCGCCACCTTGTGCTCTGCTTCGACAGGCCTCCACTGGGCGTTCTTCAAAAGGTGATGGAAGAATACAAAGATCACCTGCTTCGCCAACTCATCGCCAGGGCACATGCGCAGGCCCCCTCCGAAGGGAAAGTGGCTGTAGGGTGGCGCCCCGCCATCGGTGTCTTCGAATCTCGAAGGATCAAAAGAATCCGCATCTCTGAACATTTCTGGCTCGGAACGAACCCGGGCTGCTGAGGCAGCCACCTGCACGCACACCCACACATGCCAGAGACAAGTGCTTCAATTCTCGGTTCGGTAAGCATCTTCGATGCCGTCAGGGTGTCTGCACACTAGCAAATGGAAACTCAGACCCGAACTTGAAATCTTGCAATCATGAGACTCAGTATATGCGCGCGCGATCTAACATGGTATACACGATCAACGAATTTGTAGGTTTTGGAATAAGATGTGTCAGCCATTTCCGTGCAGGCAGAATGTAGTAACTCGAGGGCAGCAGGTAGTCAGGACACGAATTGGAATTCTTAGAACTTGTACCTTCCAGCCCTTGTTTATAGTGAAGCCCTTATACTGAAAAGCAGTTGCCGCCTCCCGGAAGAGGTTTGCTGACACAGGAAAGAGTCGTAGGGTTTCTTGAAGAACTCGCCAGGAATACCTCATCGAGCACAGATCATCCTTCGAAAGAAGCTCAGCTTCCTTCTTCACAGAAGCGATCTCGGCATGCTCTGCAAAGTTGCTTCAGAATGTCCTGAATCAGAAAACTCCAGGCGACACTCGAGCCGACGAATCTTCAAGTGGATATTTTACCATTCTGAAAGAACAACCGAATAGAGCTCCGCAGACATTTCCACTTTCACTAACTGCGCCTAGAAAGTTCATCTGCTCACCTTGTAGGAGCTTTGCATAGGCATTCGGGTGTGCAGCTACAAGCTCGATCATATGAGTGAGCGTGTCTGCAGTGGGCTTTTGACCAGCGAAAAGCATCAACAACATCTGGGCTGCGATTTCCTGGTCGGTTGACGAGAGGCCCGTTTCATCACGCTGAGAGAGCAAAACACATAAAAAGTCGTGCGTAGGAGGAGCTCGTCCTTCGAGGAGTTCATGTCTTCTTTGCACGATTACAAGCTCGAGCATTCTTGTGAGGCGCTTCTTGGCTTCACACGCGCGATAGAAACCGGATCCTGGGAATCGCAGTGGAAGACAGTAAAAGCCCTCAGCATAGACCTGAATGTCCAATCTGAGCTTCTGCACTAACGCCGGATCCTTTACTCCCAGACAGAGCTCACAGACTACGTCAAAAGTGTAGAGTGATATTGCATCGTGTGCCAGAACTGAAGCCATTTCTACACTTTGTCCCGGCCAGTGCTCACGAATGTGTTTCACAGCCAGTTCCTCTATCGTCTGGACCCGTCGAGATACAGCACTGACATCGAAGAAATTTCGTTGCCAGTGATTTTTCAGAACTTTGTGTATGGGACCTTCGGTGAAAGGCAAAGAGCTACTTTCCATCAAAGCTCTGATACTCCTGGACCAGTGTGAGGGGAGCAAACTGAGTTCACCCTGTCCCTCGTTTCTGAACAAGAAGTCGGTTCCATCGATCAGATCTAGAAACACAGTGGTTCTACCGAAGAGGGATACTTTGAAGATATCCCCGTAGCTCTCTACCTTCTTGTCAAAATAGCTTCTCAAATCGGAATTCTGTACAGCTATCAAGTACGTGATCGTGTCTCCTACGTATGGTAGACCGAGGCTTCCCGGAGGCACAGGCGGTGGCCGTCTTCCCCGTTGCTGGTCGTCTTTCTCGTACATATCGGCAACCTTCTGATAATGAACGCAATCGATCCATACGAACCTCATGCACATGAGCAGGACATACACCGCGGTTATGATAGCTGCTCCGCAGAGCTCCGGGGACATCACCATCGCGCTAGCTGTCTGCGGTGTGCTATGCTGCATGTGCTGTGCTTCATTCCTGTCACAAGAATGTCTTAGTGCCGTCAGTGCGGTATGGGATCGAGCACTTTGGACTCCTAGGCCGAGGAATTTTCCTTCTTCACTCGACTGGAGCTTACTGCCGATGAAAGGTCGAAGGCATGGTGCACTCTTTCCTTCCCAAGGATGCCAAATTCTACACAAGGTGATCGAATAGGCCTCACGTACTACATTTAATAGAACCCTTCCGGGGCCGTGGGCATTGGAATCAGCTTCTTGGTTGATTGTACGTTGCTTTGATCGGATAATTATTCGTCCGGATTTACGCTGATGCGGTGAGCACGTTATACAGTGTCAGGTACTTCTGGTCTTCTTGATGAAGAGCAGATGACATTTAGCACCTGCGCATCGACTGAAGATGCTGATATTCAAGTACGAACACGATGCGTAAAGTTTCACTTCACGTGAACCGATGGAATCTCTCTTGTGTCCGATCGATAGACATTACCATATACGGAGGAGAATCTGAACAATCCATCCACAGTTCACGTACTCGGATCCAAAAGCGGATTCATTTACTCCTACAAGTCGAAGAGATTGGGATAGCCCCTGAGTCGAGTTCTCCCAGGCCAAACAATAATGAGACAGTTAAAAACTCACGTACAAATAAAGTTCAGATCGAGTAGGTTGTGGATTCGTCGTCTATTAAACTCCACAGGTTCACTTTCTACCAACTCCAGTTCGCATTCTTCACTTGCTTCTCCTGATTCAGTGCAGCACATTATTTTTGATCCTCGTCTCACCGAGCACGCCACAAGGCTGTTGAATATCTCCTCAGAACTAGCTTCATGTTAACAACGATGTCGGGGCGATCATTCACAATGTACACAACAAGATGATCGCTATTGAAAGGCATGTGTACTACTCACACAACAGTCAGTGCAGTCTGGCTCGATTTGCGAGCGAGCTTACGAATGATGCGGTCCTATAAATGGCAGGATGTATTCATAATTCTCTTCTTCTGGATTGCAGCTCAAATCGAGCTGCAAACATCTTGCAGTCATGGATCTGAGCCCAAAAAGCGATGTCCACGAAGGCGTCGAAGGTATGAGCTTCGTGCAAACTGTCACTGTCAGGGAGCTCGACGAGGTCGTGCTTGAGCTGCTCTTACTTGACTGACTGCAGTGACCTATCGACGAGGTTCGCCAAAAGTGCCCACCAAAGTGCATCACTGCATCCGATTGGACAGTCGGGAGCTCATCGACTACCGCGACTCATTCCTGGACTGCGCAACGATTTACGCAGTCTGAGCTCACAGTTCACGAGAACCGGGGCCCAAGTGGACAATAACTATGGCCAGAAAAAAATAAATATAAACCTACAATTTCTGGGTCATATGCACCCTAGACTAATCGATTTTCCCTCTTCCTCAAGTTTCATCTTATAGTGATTATTGAAAATATTTATTATTAGATGCGGAATCTTTCGCATGATTTTGAGAACAGCAGAAGCATACACAATCATATGAACACCTCTGCGGCTAAGACTGTAATAATAGTGGCAGGTGGATATGGAATGTGTTGTCCTAAGGAGTCCAGTCTGTTGTCACTATACTGTACCTTAAATTGTATTTAGTTCATATCACACAAAGGTCAGTTGACATACATCGCTTATATCGAGCCCGTGCTTTTGGTTCGTGTTCCTTAGTTTGGGTGAATTTATAAAAAATAATAATTTATCGGTATTATGAGCGCGAAGATTATATCACACTACTGTAGTAAACATAGGGATATTTCTGACTAATCACAGCGCGCTGTGATTGGATCTGTTAGACGAGTACGTTTAAGCGACCAAATTCGCAAAGACCGAGAAATCCGAGAAAATTCCTAATCCCGGCCCTGGAACGCCGATCGGCCGGACGTCCGCATCGGACGGCGGCCCTGGGACGAAAAAATGCCGGAAATCTCGTATGCGGACGTCCGCATCGGATGTACGGTCGTTCATCGTGCGAGGTCCGCCGTCAGATGTGTGCGTCCGGCAGATTGTCGTCACAGGGATGTCGTCCTATGCGGGATTTTCAGCAGTATGTCGTCACAGGGCCGCCGTCCGATGCTGGCGTCCGACCCATTTACGTTCCAGGGCCGGGATTAGTGATTTTGTCGGATTTCTTCGTCTTTCCGAATTTCGTCGCTTGAATCACAGCGCTGCAAACCCTACGAGAGCACCACCAGGCCCCCACGACATGACACCCGACCACAAGCGCATCGTCGTACACTCCGGCAGCCACAGAGGGCAACGAGCAAACTGGGCGAGAAGATCACATAGCTCTGTTCTCTATAATATAGTAGGCTGAGTGATAACTGAGGGATAACTAACGCCGTTAAAATAACAGTCTAAATAAAAATGACGAGTCAAATACGAGGTAAAGTCATGACTGGAATTCGAAAGCCCTTGAAAGGTGTGATCGAAGATAGAACTGGCGCTCAAAATGAAACGACGCTCTCCCTGAAGACCAAGACCAAGACCAAGAAATGAAACGAGACAACACGTAGCGTAACGCCGGTCTCCGTCCGTTACATAGTTTTGGTTGCTAGGTCCGCCACGTGACTCTTGTACAGATCCTCGTAACGTCGTAATGCCTCAGGCCCTTGCGTCTAAATCCATTAGCCTTTGAGCTGCTCTCTCACCATCGACCTTCCTTATAGAGATAATACTCCATGGATTAAGCATTATTGTATTGTAAATATACTATAATGTAATATCACAATAAATGAGTGGTCCATATACTCCATTTTTCATTGGGAATACAAGGTACAGGTGTGCCTTAGAGTCTTGATGTTTGCTGTTTTACTCCGATGCGGATGTATCACATTGTATGCGTTCCTTCCACTACAGTATACTCGGGTCAGGGCAGTTGGTGTAGGATGACAGGATATTACTAATAATGATGGTTCTTCGAGTACTATTTTATTGAAACCTATTATATGGATAAATATACCTGTATCTTAATTATAAAGGTACATATTTAACATTGTGGTGACATTGGAGCTTCGCTAAAAGGTTCAGGGTTTAACCCGAACCCCACCCTCTCAGTTTCATCACTATAAGACTTAAGGTTTCAGCAGGTTTCCATACTCTTGGCTGTAATACTGGATTCTTATAATAAACATCGAGCAGCTGTGTAAGATGCGCACCGAACTCTAGCCTCGAACGCCGAACATAACCGCCGAGATATCATTTGACTAGTTTCGGGCATTTGTCGATTGCACAAAAATTGGTAGCCTTGAACGCCGAGCTTCACCATCGAGAATTTATTTCAGTATAGTTTACGGCTCACTTGGAATCAAGGAAGTGTGCGTGAGTGTTTGGCATAACGATCACAGAATAATAATATATTTTGTAGCCAATTTCATGGACAGCGGATAGACTTTTTCATATATGTATATATATGGAGGACTATTCAGTCGCATGCTCTGGCTGACATGCGGAGAAAGCATATGATCCATTCCACGTTTCAGTGCTCAGTGCAATAACGAAACCTTGAAAGCCCGTGAGACGACTGTTCTGCAGAGGAAACTCGATGCGTGGAGCACCAGAAAGTTTCCAAATGTTATTGCCGTCTTTATGATATTACAAAACTTAGATATGTTTCCTGTGGCCGAAGTTGCTGACTGGGAGCACGTTGGCTAGTACAGCGACTGATGTCTGCGAGTTATTCGTCAAAGAGAAGTTCTCTGGTGGCTCCGTAAAATGCTTTTCATTGATTGAACTTGTGTCCTCTTTGAACGCTCTGACGAAATTATAAGGTACGGGAATCATTTGCAAATAGTGAATGCCAGAGGCGGAAGTTTCCAATGATGGATGAAGACGAGAGTCCAGTCCAGCTGAGTCTCTCTAATTGCAATACCGATTGCTGTTTACAGTGGAGAAGTACAAACCTCGGTGTCGTTATTAGGACAAGTGCAATATTGTAATTTTTAAATTGGTTCAAGTGAGCCCTTACTTCCGAAGTTTAACAGACAAGTTTCTACTTGAAATTCCTCTCCATTGAAATAAACTCTATAAGGATGCATTCATGAATAGACTCTCAACCTACCGTACTCAAACTTCTGATAATTCGATATATAACCTTCATAAATTTTAATAAACCTAGCAACTGCATTTGCACGTGTTTTTTAACGATTGTTGGGATTCAGACTTTAAGAAAATCGAATATCCTCAATGAATGCATCCATCTAGGCCATTCCAACCATTCCAATAAGTGGAACTTGACAGCAGTCGTACAACCAAGAGATCAAGATGTGGAATGGAACACAGGTCCATAACATGGCTCGAGAAGCTACGACGAGCTCTCTTTCCTTTCACAAAGTGATACAACTAGAAGCGGGCCGAGTGTCATACACACAATAAATGGGTTGGCGTAGTGTTTGAATGGAAATTTGGCTGAGAAATGAGACAGTGAGCATGAAATTTGAGGCTGAAATGAGGATTTCCTGCTGGAGGTCTATTAGTATTGAGTTGTGATTGACTATGGAAAAAGTGTATATGACATTGGTGTGAACTATCGAGTGGTCTCGTCCACTAGTTGACTACATGACCAGTTGAAGACTGTACATACCCAATAGGATAATGCAAGTGTATGGTATATGCATGGTTTTTTTTTCCTATTGCAGAATTTGCTTTAAAATCAGTGTGTCCAATTATATTTGCGAGTACAGTATCAGTGGAGAGAAATATGCATGAATTTTTTCCACGAAATCTTTCCAAAATTTGCATACTCAGGAACTTCCGAACTCGATCAATCTACTGTAAATGTGTTGACATCATTGTTACAAAATGATTTAGAATTCAGTACATGGCTTAGAGCTTCAGTTCCAACATGGACATTACATCAGGCAAATCAATCACATATATCATTACTGAATAGAACTGAAATTCTAGTCTTAATACTTAATAGAAGATCTGATATCCATTTACCGATCTTCAAAAGGTGATAAAAACTATTACATTCTCAAATAATAATACTGAACACGTTTATGCATGATTACATTTATGTATGCATGTGTGTATTTGAGTATATTTTATTGTCATGCTCTAATGGTTATAGACATGCACATATCAAATTCAAAGTCATAATTCATGCAATCAGAAATATTATAAAACTAGTTTGGTGTATGAATCTAATCCGTAAGTTCTACTTTAGTGCTGAAGTTGCAAAGAAAAAGTACTTCTAATAAAATGATATTTGTAAAAACTTAGCTATAACTCATCCAAGCATCTTTGTAAAAAAAATTAGCACATTTCCTTTATAAGAAAATCTTTAAATCATCAAGAAAAAATGTAATAATGATCTGATTGTTTCAAACATATCTGAAATAAACTAAATTTTTGATAAGTTCTGAAAATCTCAAAAAAAAATCAAAAAAAAATCAAAAATTCAAAATCTTTGCAATATCAAGAAAGCTCACTCCATAAATATAGCAGAAAATCAGCACATTACATATCTGGGGAACTAGGTTTCTTGACTTTATATAACAATAAGACCTCTCAGGCGTGAACATTTTGATGCAGTTAATTAAAAGCATTACTTAATACTAATTCTTTGAAATTAAAAAATAAAATCTAAATTTAAAATGTTAGTTTCCACAACAGGAAACACATGATATAATTTACCTTGAATTTCAATATGTTGTCGTCTCAAGCTCAATTCATCTCCATTACATAATTTTTTTGCTTCATTGAAAATTGTTCATGGCAAGTAAGCATGTGCCTGTGAGTGAAGGAAGAAATGTTAATATTAATTATTCTAATTATCAAAACACTTTTTCCATGGTTTTGTAAACTCTATTGTGCATACTTAATATATTCACTTTAGAGCATGGGTCGATGATGATCATGCTACCTTTGCAGTTGGTGATGACCCGCTTGCTCAAAGGCTGTAATAGCACCATCCATGAACACAGCTTCAATCAATTTACTCCACAATATTCACTTTTCTAATCTTTAAGAAGGCAATGGTATTTTACAGTACCTACATATCAAATTGTCACATATGCA